TTAGGAATTGTCAATAGGATAATGAGTGTCTTATAAAGACGTTATGTTTATGTTTCTTTCTTTTTTCAAACAAATGTATTTGAAGTTAGTCTACTTTAAAACTATGGTTTCATTTGTAAGTGATAATCTTGTTTCGGATTTCTCTTTATATTACCAATATTGTATATATCATATATGATCTCACTTAAAGGAATATGTCAGCATTAATGAGTGTTTATCTGCTTCAGAAAATTTCGATAATTACGTGAGCAAATAAATATCTAATCTTATCTCTGTATCTATATACAAAATGAATATATATGTATATATCTATATTTTATATACATAAATGCATGAACGTACTTGGAATTCCAAGTCCTGCATCCTTTCCTTATAGATTTGACCTGACATAGCCGAGGCTCTCCACTTTGTTAACATGAAACGAGCTCATTGGTACAACCAGTTTAACCACACTGTTTAAAATGTCCAACTGTTGTATGGTTGGTTCCCTTACATGCGATTGTATCTTTGAAAAGTTTTTTTTTCTCAGCAGTAATCGTTTTCCTTTTCCTGACTAGAATCAATTTTCCACAGGATGCCTCTATAACTTACAATATTTGAAGATAGGTTAAAACTATCCTGGGCATGTGCCAGAGGATTGAGAATTACTTTAAGTCTAAGAATAAAAAAAAAAAAAAAATTTACACACACATACTTATTCATGTATAAACACACACAAACATATATATATATATATATATATATATATATATATATATATATATATATATATGTCTGTGTGTGTGTATGTGTGTTCTAATAGATGCATAATATATATATGTATACATATACGTGCATACATGTATATATATGTGCATATATATATATATATATATATTTATATGTATATATACGTATATGTGTATACATGTTCGGGTACCTTTACGTATGTAATCGTGTGTAAGTAGATATATACAATCATATAATATAATGGGTCGTTTTGATGGCTTTCCTTATTTAAGATATTCTTTCCCATTTCCTCTGAGTGTGAGAGTCCGTTACTAAGTCCTTTGGACTGCCTGCCGACGGTTTCAGTCTTAAAGAAAACTGCAGTCGACGCTCGCCATGATAATCGTGGAGTGAACGTTTGGTTTCTAATTCCTTCACGAATGTATTTCATTCTTGATATAACTGATATTGACTAAATCCTAGAAATGAATTTGCTAATCTATTCTAATCAATTTCTGAATCTTTATTGTGTGTTTCGTTTCCATTTGGGAATATGAAAAAATAGAATATATATATTTTTAAATTGGTCTTTATTTCTTGTATAAAAATAAATACAATTTCATCAATATATCTCTTGGCACTTTAAGACATCTTAGGCATAGATGGGGGGAGGGGGGCCGTAGGCGGGGGGAGCGGGCTTGTATGAGGGTGTGTGCTCGGGGTACTGAGCCTCGCCCTCGTAGGTGACCTCAGCTACAAGACCGTCGCCGTTGTCCACGTAGTTGACGATCTGCTTGCGGCCGTCGGGGAGGTCCACGGTGTAGCTGCCCTCGGTCTTGTAGCCGTCGCGGGACTCAGTGTGGCCGAAGTTGGCGCCAGAGTAACCGTCGGCGACACCGTAGTTGTAGTTGTACTTGGGTGGCACCTGGACAGATGACAGGGGAATGAGAAATGTTTCTCAGCATCCATGGAACTTTTTATTTTCTTGGCATGAGTATAGTATAAGTGAACGAAAATGCAGCAACGCAGTGTAATAATGACTGGGTTGATGCATCCCTCAGTGACACTGTCTTCAATGATGACTGAAAAAAACTGATTGTATAAATACTTACATCAGGGTATTCGGGCTCGTGGTGTGCAGGGGCGTGGTAGGCGGGTTCGGGAGCGTGGTAGGCGGGTTCGGGGGCGTAGTAAGGAGCAGGGGCGTAGGCGGGGGGAGGAGGGGCGTAGACTGGGGCCTTGTCGCACAGAGCAACGACAGCCACGCAGGCGAGGACGACGACCTACCGAAAAAGTATCACGTTATCTACAGTTACTAACGAAGAAAGAAAGGAAGATTGCCAGTACATAAAGCGACGAGGTATTTCTTAGGTGAAGGAACAATAGAAAAAAATGGATCAACGAATTTACTGTCTATCCATGAACGGTGTATCTATACAATTCATATATGCATAAACGTATATATATATGTATATATACAGTCATGTGTATATAAATATGTGTATGTATGTATATATTCGGTATGTATAATTACATATAATTATATGTAAGCATACATATACATACACACATACATATACATGTGTACACACACACACACACACGTCCGTGTGTATGTGCATGCGCATCTAAATATATATCACTTAAAGCAAATCTGAACACTACTGTCGTCATTCAAAGAATTTTCCCCGCACCACTTTTACATTCACTGATTAATGTCAACACCGCAAATACTTTCGCATGTTAAAGACTTCCTTCTATATAGCGCAGGATTTTGTACCTTGAGAGACATGGTTAGTGAGTGTATGATGGTTAGTGGTTGACACTTCCCCTTATATACTGTGTGCGATGTGTGTTCGTACGTAGGTTCTGCTGTAGGCCCTTTCACCGTGGGAATAATTTTCTAGCCCTTGAAATACCATCTTAAGAATTGTCAATAGGATAATGAGCGTCTCTTATAAAGACGTTATCTTTATCTATATTTGTTTATTTTTGTTTTATTTTTAAGCAATTGTATTTGAAGTTAAAATCTACTTTGTAACTATGGTTTCATTTGTAAGTGATACTCTTGCTGTGGATTTCTTTTTATATTGCCAGTATTGTATATACCATATATAATCTCACTTAAATGAATATGTCAACATATAAATGGTTGTCTATCTGCTTCAGAAAATTACGATGATTAATTTCATCTCTGTATCCATATGCAAAATGAATATATATATGTTTATTTATAGACATAAATGCATGAACGCACTTGGAATTCCAAGTCCTGCATCCCATCCTCATAGATTTGACCTGACCATAGCCAAAGCTCTCCACTTTGTTAACATGAAACGAGCTCATTGGTACAACCACTTTAACCACACTTTAAAATGTCCACCTGTTATATGGTTGGTTCCCTTACATGGCGATTGTATCTTTGAAAAGCCTGCAACAAAGTTTTTTTTCTCAGCAGTAATCGTTTTCCTTTTCCTGACTAGAATCATTTTTACACAGGATGACTCTATAACTTACAATATTTGAAGATAGGGTAAAACTATTCTGGGCATGTACAGAAGGATTGAGAATTCCATTGATTCTAAGAAATTGGAAAAAAATATATGTACACACATATATATGCATGCACACACACACACACGCGCGCGCGCACACACACACACATATGTATATAACAGACACACACACACACATATATGTTTGTGTGTGTGTATGTGTGTGTTCTTATAGATTTATAGTATATATGTATGCATATATATGTATATGTATGTATATATATATGTATACATATACGTGCATATATATATATATATGCATATATATGTATGTATATGTATATATACGAATATGTGTATAGATATACATATATACATATACACACATATATAGAGACATACACACTTACGTGTGTGATCGTGTGTGCATGTTTAGGTATGTGGATATCATATATGTATATTGTAATGGGTGGTTTTGATGGCGTTCCTCATTTAATATATTCTTTCCCATTTCCTCTGAGTATGAGAGTCCGTTACTAAGTCCTTTGGACTGCCTGCCGACGGTTTCAGTCTTAAAGAAAACCGCAGTCGACGCTCGTCATGATAATCGTGGAGTGAACGTTTGGTTTCTAATTCCTTCACGAATGCACATTTCCATTGATTTCTGTCAATTCTGTCTGTTAATATGAATGAGACTTATTTACATGTATTTCAGTCTTGATAACTATTGTAAAACTGATATTGACTAAATCCTAGAAATTAATTTGCTAATGTATTCTAATCAATTTCTGAATCTTTATTGTGTGTTTCGTTTTCATTTGGGAGTATGGAAAAATAGAATATATATATTTAAATTGGTGTTTATTTCTTGTATAAAAATAAATACAATTTCATCAATATATCTCTTGGCACTTTAAGACATCTTAGGCATAGGTGGGGGGAGGGGGGCCGTAGGCGGGGGGAGCGGGCTTGTAGGCGGGCGTGTGCTCGGGGTACTGAGCCTCGCCCTCGTAGGTGACCTCAGCTACAAGACCGTCACCGTTGTCCACGTAGTTGACGATCTGCTTGCGGCCGTCGGGGAGGTCGACGGTGTAGCTGCCCTCAGTCTTGTATCCGTCGCGGGACTCAGTGTGGCCGAAGTTGGCGCCGGAGTAACCGTCGGCGACACCATAGTTGTAGTTGTACTTGGGTGGCACCTGGACAAATGACAGGGGAATGAGAAATGTTTCTGAGCATCCATGGAACTTCTTATTTTCTTGGCATCAGTATAGCAAAAGTGAACGAAAATGCAGCAACGCTGTGTAATAATGACTGGGTTGATGCATCCCTCAGTGACACTGTCTTCAATGATGACTGAAAAAAACTGATTGTATAAATAGTTACATCAGGGTATTCGGGCTCGTAGTGTGCAGGGGCGTGGTAGGCGGGTTCGGGGGCGTGGTAAGGAGCAGGGGCGTAGGCGGGGGGAGGAGGGGCGTAGACTGGGGCCTTGTCGCACAGAGCGACGACAGCCACGCAGGCGAGGACGACGACCTACCGAAAAAGTATCACGTTATCTACAATTACTAACGAAGAAAGAAAGGAAGATTGCCAGCACATAAAGCGACGAGGTGTTTCTTAGGTGAAGGAAGAATAGAAAAAAATGGATCAACGAATTTACTATCCATCGATGAATGGTGTATCTATACAATTGATATATGCATAAACGTATATATATATATGTATATATACAGTCATGTGTATATAAATATGTGTATGTATGTATATATTCGGTATGTATAATTACATATAATTATATGTAAGCATACATATACATACACACATACATATACATGTGTACACACACACACACACACACACGTCCGTGTGTATGTGCATGCGCATCTAAATATATATCACTTAAAGCAAATCTGAACACTACTGTCGTCATTCAAAGAATTTTCCCCGCACCACTTTCACATTCACTGATTAATGTCAACACCGCAAATACTTTCGCATGTTAAAGACTTCCTTCTATATAGAGCAGGATTTCGTACCTTGAGAGACATGGTTAGTGAGTGTATGATGGTTAGTGGTTGACACTTCCCCTTATATACTGTGTGCGATGTGTGTTCGTACGTAGGTTCTGCTGTAGGCCCTTTCACCGTGGGAATAATTTTCTAGCCCTTGAAATACCATCTTAGGAATTGTCAATAGGATAATGAGCGTCTCTTATAAAGACGTTATCTTTATCTTTATATGTATATTTTGTTTTATTTTTAAGCAATTGCATTTGAAGTTAAAATCTACTTTGTAACTATGGTTTCATTTCTAAGTGATAATCTTGCTGTGGATTTCTTTTTATATTGCCAGTATTGTATATACCATATATAATCTCACGTAAATGGATATGTCAACATATAAATGGTTGTCTATCTGCTTCAGAAAATTACGAAAATTAAGTGAGCAAATAAATATCAACTAATTTTATCTCTGTATCCATATGCAAAATGAATATATATATATATATATATATAGACATAAATGCATGAACGCACTTGGGATTCCAAGTCTTGCCTTCCCATCCTCATAGATTTGACCTGACCATAGCCAAAGCTCTCCACTTTGTTAACATGAAACGAGCTCATTGGTACAACCACTTTAACCACACTTTAAAATGTCCACCTGTTATATGATTGCTTCCCATACATGACGATTGTATCTTTGAAAAGCCTGCAACAAAGTTTTTTTTTTCTCAGCAGTAATCGTTTTCCTTTTCCTGGCTAGAATCATTTTTACACAGGATGCCTCTAAAACTTACAATATTTGAAGATAGGGTAAAACTATTCTGGGCATGTACAGAAGGATTGAGAATTCCATTGACTCTAAGAAATTGGGAAAAAATATATGTACACACATATATATGCATGCACACACACACACATATATATATGTTTGTGTGTGTGTATGTGTGTGTTCTTATAGATTTATAGTATATATGTATGCATATATATGTATATGTATGTATATATATGTATACATATACGTGCATATATATATATATATATATATATATATATATGCATATATATGTATGTATATGTATATATACGAATATGTGTATAGATATACATATATACATATACACACATATATAGAGACATACACACTTTTACGTGTGTGATCGTGTGTGCATGTTTAGGTATGTGGATATCATATATATATATTGTAATGGGTGGTTTTGATGGCGTTCCTCATTTAATATATTCTTTCCCATTTCCTCTGAGTGTGAGAGTCCGTTACTAAGTCCTTTGGACTGCCTGCCGACGGTTTCAGTCTTAAAGAAAACCGCAGTCGACGCTCGCCATGATTATCGTGGAGTGAACGTTTGGTTTCTAATTCCTTCACGAATGCACATTTCCATTGATTTCTGTCAATTCTGTCTGTTAATATGAATGAGACTTATTTACATATATCTTAGTCTTAGTATCTATTGTATAGCTGATATTGACTAAATCCTTGAAATTAATTTGCTAATGTATTCTAATCAATTTCTGAATCTTTATTGTGTGTTTCGTTTTCATTTGGGAGTATGGAAAAATAGAATACATATATTTTTAAATTGGTCTTTATTTCTTGTATAAAAATAAATACAATTTTATCAATATATCTCTTGGCACTTTAAGACATCTTAGGCATAGGTGGGGGGAGGGGGGCCGTAGGCGGGGGGAGCGGGCTTGTAGGCGGGTGTGTGCTCGGGGTACTGAGCCTCGCCCTCGTAGGTGACCTCAGCTACAAGACCGTCGCCGTTGTCCACGTAGTTGACGATCTGCTTGCGGCCGTCGGGGAGGTCGACGGTGTAGCTGCCCTCGGTCTTGTAGCCGTCGCGGGACTCAGTGTGGCCGAAGTTAGCGCCAGAGTATCCGTCGGCGACGCCGTAGTTGTAGTTGTACTTGGGGGGCACCTGGACAAATAACAGTGGAATGAAAAATATTTTTCAGCATCCATGGAACTTTTTATTTTCTTGGCATGAGTATAGTATAAGTGAACTGAAATGCAGCAATGCAGTGTAATAATGACTGGGTTGATGCATGCCTCAGTAACACTGTCTTCAATGGTGACTGAAAAAAACTGATTGTATAAATACTTACATCAGGGTATTCGGGCTCGTAGTGTGCAGGGGCGTGGTAGGCGGGTTCGGGAGCGTGGTAGGCGGGTTCGGGGGCATGGTAAGAAGCAGGGGCGTAGGCGGGGGGAGGAGGGGCGTAGACTGGGGCCTTATCGCACAGAGCGACGACAGCCACGCAGGCGAAGACGA